GGGGCGTACGCGGCCGCGCGGGGGAGGGTCGGGGGCCCGCGGGCGTTCTAGGACGGACGAACGCTCGCGAGAGGGCGCCGTGGTCTCTTATCGCCCCCCCTCCCCTCCCAGCCCCAACCCTGCAGCGAGCGCCCTGCAGCTCCAGGGGTTCAACGTCACGCCGAGGGCTGGGGAGCACCCCACACCTCGGGAATGCTCTGAGACGCACGCCGCCGAGGGCTGGGGAGCGGGGTGCTCCAGTGACGGGGGTGGGAGGAGGACTCGGGGACACTCCTGGGGAGGGGTGGGGTTATGGGGGGGACGACGTGTTCCCAAAGTGGAGTCCGGACTTGCATTCTGTTTGCTGGGGGGAGTGGGAGAGCCGAGAGCATCTCTGCACCGTGAGGACCGAGGAGCGGCTCACCCTCCTCCACGACGGGGTGGGAGGGCACGGGGGAGTCGCTAGGACACGTTCCCAAGTCGGTTGGGACCCCTCCACGCCAGTCCTCCGCCCGCCCTCGCGTGCGCCCCTGGCCGGGGGCCGAGGCACCCACCCCGGGGACCGCACCCGGATCACTGACGGCTAAGAGCAGGGCGGTGCTCGCGCCAGCCTCGCCCCGCTCCGCTCGGCGCCACCGGTTCCGGAACCAACGTGCGCGCCCGGGGAAGGCAGTGTGGGGACGAGGAGCGGGGACGGACCCGCGCCGGAAGTGAGGTGCTCAAAGCCCGCGGCCGCCGCGATGGCGCACATCACCATCAACCAGTACCTGCAGCAGGTGGGTTTCGCCCGGGATCTTAGCTTCCTGACCGCCGGGGTGGGTCCTGGCGCTGGGTCGGACCGGGCCTGCCTGGGGGTGGGAATCTGCGGCTGCCTTTGAGGCGAGGAGGGTCTGCTGTATGCGGCGGGCCTTGCTCAAAAGTTGCAAGTGCCTCCCGCCGGGTCTGGGACAGAGAGGAGGATTCCAGGTGGCAGTACCAAGATCGGTGTTCCTCGTAAAAGCTGTTGTCCGTGTAGCACTGTCTGCACGAAGCACGTTGTGTCTTAAGAGAGGTGTCCCTCAAGGCCTGCGAATGGCACAGGCGAGCAGCGTTGCATCAGGGTTGAGGGTTGAGTTTGCGTTTTCTCCACTAACCCAGGAGAGAGAGGTATGAAGCCCACTAGTCAACACACCCGGTGCCAGGGACAGCCAGATGGGAAAGTCTGATGAACGTTTCTAATGATGACACTGCTGTTTCTAGATGTTGATGCATCTTGGTTTTGCACTTAGCTCTATTGTTATCAAGGCCCCTGTTCCCTGTCTCAAACATCTCATTAGCTAGCACCCCTAGGGAAGCTGGGGAACAAATACTGCAATTTGAGCATAAGTGCTCAGAAAGGGAAGAGGCCTGATTAATTGTGGAAGTCGGTGGTGTCAACTGTAGCTGCCTCCTGATTGACAGTTAAGTCACATGCCTCTAATGGCCCACTTGTTAGAGGCCTGCGGGGACCCCAGTCCCACCCCCTTTTCTGAGACAGAGTTTCTCTGTATAGCAGCCCTGGCTGTCCTGGAACTTACTCTGTAGACAAGACTGGACTTGAACTCACAGAGATCCGTCTGCTTCCTGAGTACTTGGATCAAAGGCTGAGACCTGTCTCTTATGCTGTCATTTTTTTTTTTTCATAGCAGTTCTAGATATTATCTTGGTGGTCTTGGTGGTTTTTGGTTTTTTGAGACAGGGTTTCTCTGTGTAGCTTTGGGCCTTTCCTGCATCTCACTCTGTAGACCAGGCTGGCCTCAAACTGGCAAAGATCTGCCTGCCTCTGCCTAGTGCTGGGATTAAAGGCGTGTGCCACCACATTGTCTTGTTTTGTTTGTTGTTTTTGCTTTTTGATAGTCTCACTGTGTAGCCGCCACTGGCTGTCCTGGAACGAGCTGTGTAAATACCAGACTGGCCTCAGAAATGTGCTTGTTTCTGCCTCCTGAATGCTGGGGATGTGTGCCATCATTCCTGGGCTACTTTGTTTTGCTTTGTTTTGTTTATACTGGTGGGTTTGCTTTTACGCTGTTAACCTTGAGCTATGAGGCTCATGGTTTTGTACCTTTGTATTGTGAGTCAGGAAGCATTGGCTGGCAGGAGAGCAAAGCCAGAGGGCTAAGCAGCAAAGCTGAGCAGTGTGCAGGTGTTCGGACCTTGTGCTAGTGAGCAGCAGTTGTGTTCCCTCTCATTGTAAATTTCATTTCCTACCTTCATCAGCACACCTCTCGGCTGTGTGTTTTCAGCAGAGCTCTGGGAATCCCCTTGTTGATCTGACTCATGCAGTGAACATAGTTTGGGTTGATGAGGGAATAAGAGATGAACTGTTAGTACTCGTGTGCCCCTTAAGTAGCAGCACTGTTGTCAATGCTGCATGAGTACGCGTTCAGTTTAATTCTGTCACAAGGCGCCCTGAAGAGCTTGGTAGGTAGCTGACCATGTCCGCTCAGAAGCAGTCAGTTGGAACTCAGACTCTGTCTCTAGAGGGCACATATTTAATACTTAGCCTTTCCAAAAGATGCTGTTTCTGGAGAGTCATGCTTGAACCTCAGGGACCTTATTGTTGGCCAATGTTAACACATTGTTTGTCTCTTTCCTCGTGTTTCCTGTGTTCATTTCCCAGATGCTGTTGAGATAGGGTTGATTAGATTTTACCCTCTTGCAGGTTAGTAAGGTAGCCTATTCCTCTTGTGGTTGCTTGAACCAGGGGTCAAGGTTGCTCCTTCTTTCTTTCTTCTTCTTCTTCTTCTTCTTCTTCTTCTTCTTCTTCTTCTTCTTCTTCTTCTTCTTCTTCTTCTTCTTCTTCTTCTTCTTCTTCTTCTTCTT